ATTTTTAGCTGTGGCAGCTAATCTTTTTTCCGTGTGGATAATAATTTAATATAAACTATTACTTTTTTATTTACGTCATACAGAAACTGGATACCTTATAGTTACGAATTATTTACGAGCGTTTCATTCAATAAATGTATTGTACTTGATAAATGGACACCACCAATCTTTTTTTAAGGACTCTTTTGATGAATAGTTTATTATTCACTGAATACTAAGCAACTATAGCTAATTGAAAATAAATTTGTTTTAGTGTACACAATTCGATTTTTCAGTTTTACAGATTACTCGAATGCATTCGTTCATTATACTGAAATTTCAGCGAGCCTCCGCATATCTAAAGGAAGGAGAAATTCCGCTCTTCGAATCGCGCTCGTTTTACATAAGACGGGTACATATTTTAGCGACATTCACTCGGCAGGGGGTAGATGAAAAAGACTTAGGAGCAGCGATGAGAAAGGTGAAGAATGGCGCAATGTCGCACTGAAGGCTGAAGGGGAGGATTTAGCCCTTTCACATCGAGGAATGCCAGCGAGTTATTTTAGGCCTTCCCAACTTCCTTCCCATTCTACAGAGATGCGTTTACGCGACGTAACAAAATAATGAAGAAGAGCGCCCTTTGCCGCCGCGACAATACTCTCTTGACTTTCCTTTCCCTACAAACATTCCCTTAGTCTCCTTTCTCTTTTATTCTCTTTTCTTTACACCACCTTCTCTCTCTCTTTCTCTCTCTCTCAGTCTCTTTTATGATTCTTAAAAGAATACCAGAGCTCATGCGCGCTAAAGGAAATACTTTTAAATACGAAATACGATGATGAAGAACGTCGCGACATTTTCTGCGCATAAATACTTTTTCCATTAAAAGGGAACATAGAGTAGAAACATGAGCCCTTGTTCTAGGTGCCTCTTTGTCCTCGTAAACAGACTTTTTAAAGCCGTGCTTATGAAAAAGTTACGGGTTATCTATGATGACATAAGCAGGTCGCATTTTTGAGCGCTTTCTTGAAAGCCGTCGAGATGCAGTTAGTAGAATTTGGATCTCTACGCTGTTTATTTTAACGAAATCTTGTCTTTATTGATCAAGATATTCCGAAGAATTCTTGACTAGACAGGAAGAAAAGGCACATGCTTCAAAGCGTAATGTTTCTTATATATTGTACCTCTAATATTATATACTTCCTTTTCTCCTCCGCTTGACTTTTCGTTACGAAGGAAGTCTTGTATCCGATATTCTTATAGCACGTTTTTTTCCATGTCAAGAAGTATCTCATTCTCAGTTTTCACGAGCAATGAAATTATGGAAAAAAGAAGCGAACAACAAACGGCACAGGATAAGCGTTAAATTACATTTTTCCAGTCGTTCGTCACGAATTAAAACAGAGAGAAAAATAGAAGTCTAAAGTTAACGATTACTCAAAACGCCACAGTATCTTCTCAGCGAAAATAAAAGAATTTTCGCAATTGTTACGACAGAAACAGCATTCTTTCAATCTTTTGTGAATAAAAATGTCATAAGCCATAAGATATAACGCGAAAGTTTTCTTGAATGATACAATTATTATATAAACGTTATCATACCAAATTAATTAAAATGGTTTTCACAAAAACCAAACAAGTCCAAAAAGTTAAGTTTACAGAAAACAAAAAATCTTCTCATTTTCAAACTGTTCGTTGCACAAATATGGTAATTTTTCTCCGAACATGTAATAGGTATAAAAACGAAGCGTTAGACTTTAATTAATATTTTAAGTGAATCCATTTAAAAAATCTTTAGACTTGTTTGGCGGATATTTTATATTTGTTATCTATTTACATTTTACATCATATTTTACATTTATTTTTTACAACATTAATAGTGATAAAATAACGAAAATAATATTATTTAAAGTACACGGAGAGAATTTTCTCTTAAAATTTATTCTGAAAATTACGATAATCGTAGAATAACATGGTATTTCGAAGAATTTTATGTGATTCTCTCTGACTTATAAATAATTTCCAATTCCTGGAAGTTATATGTGATAAAATGTATATAATAGCAACTAATCTTATTATGACATTTAAATGTAGTTTGTAAACTTTACAAAACGCCTTGTAAATATTTTGTATTAGAGCAATATATAATTTTTTAATTATATTGTTTATAAAACGTCTTTTTTTTGCATATATATTAAACATTCCTATCATTACTAATATAATATCATTTTCGTCTTTTGCATATATTAAACATTCTTATCATTATTAATAATAATATTTATGTTGTCAAATTGTTCTACTTTTACATCACTATAAACACGATAAAATTTTGCGATAAAATAACGAAAATTTCTCTCGGTGTACAAAGCAAAAAAATTTTTTTTAATATTTATTTGCAAAATAAATTTATGAACTCTTATTTTCCCGTTTTCTTTAGCTGAGACGTTGCTGAAACAAAATTGTTCACTATGTGATTGAGTATGTGACGTTACTAATAGAGAACAATTCAAGTAATTCAACGTCATAATCCAGATTAAAAAAAAATAGATTATTTGGTTCTTACGGGAAATCTCCTTTAATTGTATCGTGACAATTTAGGACATAGAATATTTTTAATTTAGTATTTAGGCTGAGTTTTATTCAAAAATTAATTCATTACTCACAGTTATACTAGAATCAAATGTAATTTAAATTAGTAACGTAGCTCAAATTCATTAATAGCAAAACTGTTTCTCGCGTTAAGTAACAATTGTTGGATATTATAATAGTGCTGGTGCTACGTTACGCTGTATTATGTGTCATTGGTATAAAGCAAGAAACTTTAGTTATATGTGTTACGTTAATGTTAACATTGTTGCAACCACCTCTCGAATATGCTAATTAACTGAAATGAGGCGTAACACGGAGTTCTGTATGTAAGCTATATTAGCGTAAACAAAACATTTTAACAGATTGCCGATGGGGGCTATGAGATTTGCCGATCTAACATAATGTAGAAATTTCACCCCCATTAACCTGGACCCCCCACCATCGAAAATCAACTTTGCGATAGGTCAAAAATTTAGTGCTCTTTTGTTGCTAATTAGTTGCTCTAGAGCGAATTTTGTTGCTCCAAACGTTTAGCAGCAATAAAAAAAAAATGGGGGATCCAGGTTAATGTAAAGCTGGACCCCCCCATAATGAAAAAATGGATATAGAGCTGCGATATCAAAAAAACAAAGGCACCAGATTTTGTTGCTTTTTTGTTGCTCTAGGATAGTGCAAAGAAATATCGAAAAAATCACATTGTTAAACAAATTCCGATAAATAATCAAAACTGCATTGTCGCGCGTCGCAACGTTATGACCAAAATTTACATGTATAGAATTTGTTACTCGCAAGTTTTTGGTATCAAAATGTTCCTTGGAACATATACTATCGAAATATACCCGTTTCCGATTTTGTTGCTAACCCTAACACATGAAAAAT